GGAAAGAGGCCGTGTCCAGGGCAGGATCAGTGCTGCAGGGAAGGGTTAAGACCCACTGCTTGGGCAGTCACTGAGCCCAGGACACCCCACTGCACAGGGTTGAACACAACCATGGGGAAATGCAGCTAGTGTTGCCCCTGGGGACGTCCTGACAGAGTTGTGGGGTGTTGTTCGGGGTCTGAAGAACACCAGACACCAGACATTACCCTCATCCTGGCATGGTGCCACTGGGAGTCACCCTGTGGACTCAGTGGCCTGCAGAACCCCCACCACCACCACCAAGGGCTGAGGAAAGCCTGGAGGCCACAGGATGGGGGCGGGGGGGCTCAGACTGAAAACAGAGAACCAAGGGGGGGACAGGAATGACACACTCTCTCCCCGGCCTTCTCTGTCTCTCCCTCTTGCCTTCGCAAAGGCTGTTTGTGCTGCACAGCAAGTACGTGTGTTCTCTCCTTCTTCCGAGCCTTTCCCACCTCAGCCCAGAGCCTACGCCTGGTGGTCTCCCCTCTCTGCCCAAGTGCACATCCCTGCTGGGCACCAGGGTCTCGCACAGCTCCCTGCTGTCTTCAAGGGCTAGCTGCTCTTGGTGTCCAGAGGGGAATCTGCTCCCTTCTACCCTCACTCCTCCTCCCTCATTCCTGCAGGACTGGCGACATGTCCTGGCTCACAGGGAAAGGATCCTGAGCTTGCACGCAGCGGACTCGGGCAAGCATGTTGAGGCTTCAGGGACAGAGGCCAAGCCTGGGGGGCAGGTGCCAACCTCCAGTTCCCCAGGAGCCCCCAGGGAAGAACCTGAGCCCTCTCAGTGCTTGCCTTCAGCTGCCTGGCTCACCTCCTGAGAGGCCTCAGCGGCCTCCAGGAGATGCTCAGCCCCCAAGACGTCCAGTGCCACTGATGGCTGGCAGTGGAGGCGGGACAGACCCTGCCTCTTCTTCCTCTATTGGGACTGGTCCCCTGTAGGACCCTGCAACATATTAGACATTATCTTAAAATTAAAACTCACACATTTGCAGATCTGTGTGACTTCCACTGTAATTGGGCAAACTCTCATGAGGGAGAAAGATGATGAGACAGGCACGACCACAGACCACAGAACGCTCAGTGTCACACCAAGGAAGTTTGGTCTGTGAGTGCCCAGAGGAGAGAGCAACCCCTTTGCTGCCCCCGGGGTTAGGGAAGGCTCCTCAGACCAATGTCTTGGATCTGGATTTTGAAGGAAGGGCACTCCAGTTAGAGGGGACAGCACATGCAAAGGTTTTGAGGTAGGAAGTGCTTCTTCAGAGGTCAGAGGCAGCTCGGGTTTGGCAGTTTGGCGGCGTTGGCCCAATCAGTACTGAGGAGCAGGTCCCAAGACAGACCCACGCTTCTCATGGCAGCCTGAGCTTCCTGAATGCCCATTTCGCAGGTGAAGTAGCTGAGGCTCTGCTAGAGTAGGACTGAGAATCCAGAGCCTCTGCGCCACGCTGCCTCACAGCCAAAAGGAACGCCGAGGGGAGACGCGGGGACCGGGTCGGGGACACAGCAGTAAGGGGATGGTGGGGCGGCTCGCAGAGGCCAATGCGAGGCCGGAACCCTCCGTCCGGGATCCCGGGCGCGGCGGACGATCGAGGCCGACCCACGCGCACAGGGCATGCCGGGAGCCGCGTCGGGGAAGTGCGGGCCGGGAGGGGCTGCGGCCGGCTACCCGCGCGCGCTGGAGCGGGTACAGCGCGCCTGCACTTCGCGGGGAATGCTTCTCGAAAGACTAGGAGCTCGCTGCACAGTCGGGTCCTCAGAGTCACTAGGACTCCAAAGCTCGCCCAGAAGAGAGGGCGCCCCGGAGTGTGCCACCGTCCGGAAGTGTGGCGCCGTCGGTGTAGGGCTCGCCGGGAAATGTAGTCCCTCGGGGGCGGCCCGGGGCGGTGGCCGCACGTCCCGCGGACCCGGTGGCCCATCGGGCGTGGACCCGGCATGGCGGGGCCGGGTGGCTCGGGCGGCCCGATCGGGGCCGGGGCCCTGGCCGGTGGCGCGCGGTCCAAGGTGGCCCCGAGCGTGGACTTTGACCACAGCTGCTCGGACAGTGTCGAGTACCTGACGCTCAACTTCGGGCCCTTTGAGACAGTGCATCGTTGGCGGCGCCTCCCGCCTTGCGACGAGTTCGTGGGGGCCCGGTACGGCGGGGCGTGGGGGTCCTGGGGAGGGGGTGTCTGAGGAGGTCCCAGGCGGGGCGCTGGGGCGAGGCCGGGCCGCCGTGTCCCGGAGCGGGACCCGGTAATGGCGAGGGGGGGTTGTCCACGGCAAGGGAGGGGCTTCCGAGGGAGTCCCGGAGCGGGGTGGCCCCGGGCAGGGTACTAGAGTTAAGTTGTGTTTGTGGGTCTCGAGCTGGGGCCCCAGGTGCTCGGTAGGGGGGTGGGAGTGTCAGGGGTCTCCACATGCAGAGTTCTTTGGGGGTACTGGTGGAATTCAGGAGTCTCCATCGATCTTGGCAGTTGAGAGGTGTTACCCGACTTCTGTGGCAGCCTCAGTGCCAAGTCTCATTCCTTGGGTGCCCCCAGGAGGGTCCTGGCCTGACCGCCACCCACCCCTCTCTTTCCAGGCGCAGCAAGCACACAGTGGTGGCCTATAAAGATGCCATCTATGTATTTGGTGGAGACAACGGGTGAGTCTGGATTGAGGAGGGTGAAGCACAGTGGTGGGGACTGGGTCTCTGCAGCTCTACTGCCATCTCTCCAGATATTAGCTAAGCACTCAGCCTCAGCTTCCAAATCAGTGAGGCTCCCTCAGCACTGCAGCACACTCAGGACACGGAAATGTCCCTCTTGTTCTGAGTGAGTGGACACAGCCTTGAAAGAAACACATTTGCCATGGCTGCCACCTTTGGCAGGCACTTCTCCTTCCCTGCGCCTCCCTCTGGGCCTCATCCACATGCTCACATGGCAGTTGAGAAGGTTTGGAGGATAAAGATTTATTTCCTTCCCCCATTTTTCACTTTTGTAAGGGTTTCCCCACATTTTGCTGTACATTCCCAGCAAACAGCTTTTCCTGACAGCACATCTCCATCCCACGAACAGTTCCCAGTTAGGTTGTGGCTGGTTTCCTTTGGTGAAATAATGGCCGAGGTGAACCCTTGGTTTGTGCAGCCGCATCCTTCTCCTGGCGTGTTTTTCCCAGGAGCTGGACCACCCCAGAGGGAATGAGCTGTCTTAGCGA